CACTCCATCTACCATTGTGACATTTCATTACAAGTTCACGCGATCTAAAATACAAGATATTCGAATGACACGTTATCCTCTTATTTGCCTTGTCTTTTTCTTCATGACGAAATTTGTTGTCCAAAGTTGTATTCGTTTCCGTAGATTAAATCATACCGTTACCATTAACCGTTTTTGTGATCCGCTGTTGGATCGTGAAATAATTCACAACTTCAAGTTCATAGTTTTGTAATTGTGATGGATTTGTCGTTTGTTTTTTCTAATTCATTCACTGATGCCTGAGGAGTTTTATCCAATGTTTCTGATGGTTGGTCCTCTTCAAATCCTCTACACTGTTTACAGCAGAAAGCTACATCTCTCATAACCATAGCAATGGGCTTTTTAAACTTGGGGAGCCTAAAAGCGTAGAGAATCGGGTTGATTTCCTGAATTGACATGTGCTAGTACAAGAGAAATGTAAAATGAAGTTATAAGAGCGCTCAAACTAGAGTGACATTGTGCACAAGCAAGTAGAATAATCAAGGATATGAAATATGGAGTAAAACAAAGCCCGTTGAATGCTAGGATAATCAGAACTGATTTCGTAGTTTTTCGCTCTCTTTCCGAGATAATCTTTCGAACTGTTGTCAATCGTTTAGTTTTCTTCAGTTCTTGGGATTGTTTTCTCACGTAGTAAATTATGATGAGAGAAAGAAAGATCGTAGGAGAACTGAGTATGCCATCGAATGTTAACTCAAGAATATGAGCCATAGATACTCCTATGAAAAACACTCCTAAACTATACGCTAATGAACCTAAATATTCTGATGCGCGAGACTTCAAAGACAAACTAATAAACCATGATGCCTGAAAAAATATAGCACATAGCCCCACCAAAAAGTCACACACTGCCATACTTGCGATGATGATGTTTGAAGGCGAGGAGCGAAGCTGTTTGAAGGGGTCTTTCCGTATGGCAGCAATGACGATACCGTTAGCAAACATGATGAATGGTCCAAAAACCACTAATGCTGTTCCTGTGATCAGAGTTATAGTCGAAAAATTATTTTTAAGGATTTGTTGGAGTTTAAGGCTGTCTTCTAAGATGCTGATGTTCCAAAAATTCGAGGTTCCATAGATAGCTGCCATCTTGAAGTTGGAGTGAAAGAGCGAAAAAGAGAGAGATCTAGAGTGCACCAGTCACTTGTCGATCGCGACTAGGTTCTTTCACAGTATGAGCAAAGTTCATTTCGTGAGCGCCGAATCCAACCTCAATTGTATACATCCTCCGACACCCTCCCATGCATCAATCACCCATCTCCTCAAGCAAGGAAGCTTTTGATAAGACTATATTAATACAACTTCATGGGCACTTATATGTCTGCATTTCAATATTAACCACTTTGAAAAAAGAAATTTAAACTTAACAAACAAATAGCGTTTTTAGTCGAACAAGAAATATAAGTGTTTTGAAACAAGTGATATAAGAATCAATGTCAAAAAGCTATTTTTGTTTTAAAAACCACCAGAAAATATAATAACACAACTGCAATCCTCATTTGCTGGAAAAAGTAAGAATAGATTTTATTTTTATTTTTGATTACAGTGACTGAGGATGCTCAAACCGTAAACACACTTTTTAAATGAATACATGCTATAAATCATCCCTGGAGCCAATCAATTGGAAATAATATATATTTTGATTACGATTGGATATAATATATATTTTGATCACTCGTATTTGAACTCAAACTAAAAGTTGAATTCATTTGAGAAAGTTGGGCAACATTAGGAAGTTCAGGAAATAATATCCTGAAGGAAAAAAAAAAGAAAATTGTTCATAGTTCGAGTGCATGTCCTCAATGTTTAAACAAGGAAAACAAAATAAATTTTCAACACGAATCCATAAGTAGTGTCTATAGGCCATCCAATCACTCTTTTAATCAGTTCGTTTTTCACCAATTATGGCTAAGAGAATTTTTCCTATATTCTCAAGCTTGTCGACAGGTGATTCTTGCTTACTTTATTAAATTAATTTATTCCATCTTGAAACATGTTTAAATAGTGGGAAGATTGCTCTTTGCGTCTCTAAAATACTTTTATTATGTTTAAAGGGTTTTTTTTGGAAACCAAACGGATGAGTATTTTCTTAATCAGCTTTACTTTTATCCGCGAAATATTGAGTTAATGTTTCTAAAGATCTAGAGTGTATTTTAAGAAGCATAACTCACCCAACAACCCGAAGCTGTGAGATAACGACACGACTTGAACTAGATATGTACTATACTGCTCTTCCGGGCTTAAAAAGTAAACATCTTTTTCATTCTCACGCTTGGTGATATTATTATTCATAAACTGCCAGAATTTGAGTAAATTGTTTTTCCTCTTACCCTGCGAGCAGAAGTTTTTTTCTCAGGTGGTTAGAGGGGGAAATGGTTCCGTTCACTCGCTCAGAATACATGCAGTTAAACTTAACTGGCGCCTACGAACACCCCAGTAGCTATTGCGGATGGTACCAAATTCATGCTATAACAGAACTACGAACACCTTATATGTTTCCAACTCTCGTCATATATCGGACACTTTAGGAATTATAATATACCAGTACCCACTGTAATTTTTCTCATTGAATCTTAGTTTTCCCGCTCACAGCTTCTCCTTCAGTTTGTGGAAATTACTTTGAGAAAAGGATACATTTTTTTGAAAATCCGGCCCAATGGCATATGGGCACTATTTTGTCTACTATCTTCTATCTTCTTCTATCTTCTTCTATCTTCTCGCTATTGAGGGCACTCGTCATTATTGACAGCAAGTAACGGTATTTCTTTTTCGATATATAAAATCAGACTTTCTTCTTATGATATCGTTTTACCGTGCTGAAGTCTGCTTTGGACTATAGCCATGACCTAACTTTCGGGCCAGCTTATTAACTATATATGGGAATAAGTTAAGGTCCAGCTCAGCTTTCTTGGCTTTGTTTGAAGTTTTTGGATGCATTCACAGTCCAATCATGTGATTGGGCGAGCCTGAGCTCTTGCCAATCCGAATACACCTTTCTACAAAGAACAAATGATATCAGTCTTCACAAACGATCAACAGGCTTAATACTGAAAAGAAAACGCGCGCAGGGGCCGGGTATAAGCAAAACACGAGAGAAATGTTGTTAACTGGGCAAGCAAATGACAAAAAAATGCTCTCACAAAGCATGCACCACCAACCAATCAGAAAACAAGATTTACAACAGTTATTTTTTAAATACTAATCGAAGAATCCGTCAGGAAGCCGGATTTATTTTGGAGCAACCTTACCTATATATGACCTTCCGTGACTCGGAATATTATTATTTTTAGTTAGAAGCACTTGGAATAAAACTGTGTTTGGTATTAAAGAGTACATGTCAGCATATGAAACTCTTATAAATATGCAAAATTATACGTATTCATTTATTTTTCAACCAGAACCCCCACCCCAAATATCACTAGCTTATCAACACCGAAAACAACGAAAATCCACAAAAAAATATTTAAGTCCAAATAAAGAGCAATGTCTAGAGCTCAAAGTTGTAGATATTACCATACATGCGTTGAAGCACAATTTGCTTGAAGTACAGGGACTTCCCCAACTACGTAAAAATACAGGAAATCATTATATGACAAGCATCACAATCTCGTAGAGGTAGAGAAGAGCAGATTTTGAGAAAACCCACTAAACGGCCTCAAATCGCGCTGAAACTTCTCCAGAAGACTGATCAAAGTAAAAGCAACAACTGTAGCAAGTTTTGAGGCAAATTGTTGAGTGAAACATTTTATTGTCATGACTTTATCATAACTCCCATACATTCCCTTATAAACCATACACAGGAACCTTGTTTGGGCTGCCTGTGTTCGATGTTTTTGAATAATCATGCAAAAAAAAATAACTCTCTTTGTAGTGAACAAACTTCCAGATTTTTTAAAAAGAAGGGTATTCCGTGCACTAGAACTATAATAAAATTCTTTTGGATCATGACTTGCTATTGAAATACCAGGGGACTTTTATCGTATTAGTGAGCGGAAGTCTAAATATTTAAACTATGTACACTGTCGGGAGAGGGTTGGGATGGCTCTTGAAAATACCCCAAAAATTCTAACTTTTAATTGGTAATCAAGTCGAAAATTAACCTAAAAGAGGATGTTATAATAAATGACAAACCACTCCTCCCCCCAAGTGAAGTGTGATGCGTAAACAAGGGGATACCCCCTAAAAGACTGGAAGAGAAGACCAATGATTGGTACGTGCGCGTATTTACGTCACACTGGCATTACCTGCTCAACCTAAATGTAAAGTCTAAATATCAAGTTCGTTAGGCTTGCTTCATGTGAAAAAAGCGCTTATTACTATATTTTGCTTGTCTGAGCATATTCTTTTTCATTTTGGGAAACGCTAGCAATCGAATGAATGAAAAGGTAAGCTCTCTTTTACGATATAAAAACCTCTTTCTCGAGTAGAAACCAAGATGGCGGATCTTTGATACAAGTCTCAACGGGTTCTTCTCCCAATATTTGGACTCTCTAAGAATAGCAATTTAGTTTGCACTAGCGTTTGATATTACAAATTTATTACAAAATATTTTACTTTTTTCATAAAAGTGGATAAAAAAAGCTATGGAAAAGGCGACAGTTAACGAAAGAAAAGCAGATTTGTGAGAGCGAGAATATAATACTAATTTATACATGCATACGTATTGAGTGGGATAATTACTAACCTTGGGAAATTACCAAACTTTGGTACTGTGGTTTTCTTAAAATATTTGCATCACCTTGAAGAGCGTTCCAGTTTTTACTTTCCATTATTATTATTTTTGGTTGCATTCATTTTCGGTAGGTTTAATAGTCGAAAGTTACACTCCTTTAACTTTTTACGATTTTAAATTTTTTTTTTAATTTTATATATTATAAATAGAGCATACTAAGTAAGTATGAATAGCTAATTTAATCAGACACTTCTTGTAGACTCAAAATTCAGATATGTTTCTCATTTTATAGTCACCTCATTTCGCACAACCCTGGTTTAAAACCATGCTCGGCTAACAGTGTGACTTCATTTGCTATGCTTTCAAAGATTAGCACCGTGCTGTATCTCATGTAATATCCGGGTGCAAAACCAAAAGCAACTCTATAATGATTTTCCTAACTTTGAATTATAACAGGATTGGTTGTCCAAAGTTACATGTATCATTGATCCAAACTTTTTCCACTTTATTTTAGTAGTTTTTGTGCCAATTGGACCTGGAAACATACTCACCCAATTAACATGCTCTAATTAGCCAAGAACTGTGCTAAAGTAGTAAATGAAAACTAAAAAAAGGCAATGATAACTGCAATGAAATTTTTATTTAGCTATATTCAGAACAAACAAAGTACCTTTTTTTCTGCTTAGTTCAGAAAATACTCATTTTAGGAAGTGTTCACAGCACTCAAGAAGTGTTCTCTTTATTTTATCACTTCCTATGCTGTATAACCAAGAGAATATGAAGTAAGAGAAGGAATCCCCGTGCCCCATCATGTGCACACTTTGATGCTATTTTTAGAACCTATTCTAAAAATATCATACAATGATATCATTTATTTGATCGTTTGATTTTCTGCACGCGCGCATAGTACGCGCACGCTCTACGCTGTTTGCTAACATTTTCTTGTGCTTTTCTTATGTTCAAATGTTCAAATCTATTTACATTCATATTAAATCTGCCCTCAAGATAACGATGTAGTTCAAAAGCTTTGGAAAATAAATGTAAAAATACTCCAGAAAGTTGAACAAACTACTACTTCAATTTCCTGTCATATTTGCTAAGCTTTCGACGTGCACATTCATATTCATGGCGCAGAGTCGAAATAACGGCAAAAACATAAGCAAACAGCATAGAGTGCGCGCCAGTAAATGCGCGTGCAGAAAAACAAATGGTTTAAAAATAGCATCAAACTGTGCACATGATGGTTACAAGGCTATATAGGGGGGATTCCTTCTCTTAGTTCATTTTCTCTTGGTATGACTTAACAGAACATGGAAAAAGCTGTTCTAAATGTAATTCTCAAACAAAACAGGAACAAGGAGTTAATATAAGCCCAAAGTGTGCTTAAAAATTAAGTAATAGGTTACATAACCGTTTTTTTTTTTTGTTTTTTGTTTTGCTTTCCTCACTTCCTGCATGCATTATTAATGGGCTTTAATATCAGGTATTTTTATATTAGTAAAACATAAAAATAATTATCATAGCTTGAAAGAGCAATGTTAAAATCAGTGAAACAGTAAAGTTTGAAGACAATAATGGCATGTCTTGCCTATCAATGAATAATGATTTCAATTCTTGAAAAAAAGTTTTTAAATCTTTGCCAGTTTTTAAACCAGGGCATGCAGCTATGGTAATTATTCTTCTGTCCTATGAGTTTTGGAATAACATGATAAAAGTTCATAACTGACATGAAATTTAAAGAAACTGTGTTGTATTTTTTTTAATTCAAACAGGTGAAAAGAAATTGAAAAAGCCTGTGTCATTTGTCTGTAATTATAGGAAAATAGGGTATAGAGCATATATTGTGCACATTACGTTATAACTACCATCTTGGTTGATGTTAACAAAGCATTCCTCAGCCTTTTTTGTTAGATCAACCATCATAGCAGTTGGTTCATTGTTATTCATATCAGGGATTTTGAGTCTCATGGTTGCACACACTGTATAGCATCTGTTGGTAATATCTTTAATATTTGAAAATGTTTTTTAAATCCTTAAGAGTTTTGAAAAAAAATCTGAAACACGCAATGCCATGCAAGAACCCATGGAAGAGGACGACTCTGAGACTGATTCCCCATGTGACCCGAATACAATTTTCCTATCATATCATCCTCATGAACTTCACAAAGTGAATCCTATGTCTATATATAAAGAATATGGGGGGAACTGGAAGTGCGACAACTGTGGAAAAGAATCTGGGCCATTGCACTATCCATACCACTGCAAAGCCTGCAGTTATGATATCTGTAAGAAATGTAGCCAAGGAGTGAGACTGGATGCTCATGAACATCCACTCTTTTACACCAACACTTCACGGTTGTTTCATCAGTCTGACAATGGAGTTTGGAAATGTGCTACTTGCTCTAGGTCCAGCAGTGAGACTGGACAAACACACTCTCTGCATTGTTCATTGTGTGACTTTGATCTGTGTCTTGAATGTGCTACACCTAGACAGTATTTGATCCACTGCCATCCTTTGGCTACTGTCAAAACAAGCATTGTATATCCAAGTACTGGTGGAAACTGGGCTTGTGATTTCTGTGGAAGAACAAGTAGACCCAATGAAAGGTAAGCATTAATAGATAATTAAACCTTTGATGGAACTAGAATCTTTCAGTCTGGGTTATAAGACCTGCATATCTGGTGAAATTGCAGAGTCCAAAGCAGTTCTTTGTCTCATGGTGAAATTTAAGTCCAAATCATAATTTTATTTGTCTGGTAAAATTGAAGTCCAAAGCATTTCTTTGTCTGGTAAAATTGAAATCTTTTGAGAGTTTTCATGAGGGCAAGTGGAATAGCTCCTGGGATTGACTCCTGGGTATTTTTATCGTTATTTTTACTTCTGAAAGCTATGTATAGCACTCCACTCCGGGGAAAAAGTACTGGGGATGCTCATTGTATCTCTTAGGGGTAAAAATTCACGATTTGGTATCTTTTAGGGTGTTAAATGCGAATTTTTGAAAATCAGCATTTTGTGGTATCTCTTAGGGTGTCAGAAAAGGAGAGAAGCGTGCATCAAGTGGCTTATCCTAGGCGCTTCTTATAGGCCAGATGCCTAGTGTAAGAAGAATAATTACTACTTGAGGAAACTTCAAAAGGAACTTCATTTAATCCAATTGTAAAACCAACAAGTATGGGATAATGAATGTTGTGGTATCTCTTAGGAGTTAAAAATCATTCAGCCACGCCCTTTTTGAAAGACTTCCAGTATCTTTTAGGGGTCTTTTTGAAAATTTCCGACGAGCATCCCCGGTACTTTTTTCCTGGAGTCCCCCCCCCCCCCCCGGCACTCCACATTGTCTACCAGTCAAGCTTAGGCAGGGCTTTAAATAATGGCCAGACATCAGACAATGTCTGCCCAGAATTAGATGTTGTCTGGTCAAATCTTTGAATTGCTGGTCAATTCAGTAACTAGTATGACCGAGCAAAAACTAATTTGACCGTTCATCATGACCGGCAACTTAACAGCCATTATCTTCAGCCCTGTTAGGCCAATTGAACATAGCCCATGCATGGGTTAACTGATGGGTAAACATGGGTTATCTGTATCTTGTCTAATAGATTATGGTTGTCATCTTTCCAATACAGGTATTCCCGCCATTGTTCGGAATGTCAATTTGATGCCTGCTCAGATTGTCTCAAAGAATATAATGTTTCTTCTCATCCCCATCCCCTGGTCAAAGCGGATTCTAACTATGTCTATCACAGGTTCTGTGGTGGTTGGAGGTGTGATAACTGTGGCTCGTTACACAATACACCAGATGATAACAAGCCTTGGCACTGTTTGCAGTGTGAGCATGATTTGTGCGATGCCTGCATGCATCGGCTAAATAATGGCATATGTAAGTATAGATTGCGCAATGAAATACTTCAATTTAAAACAATACAGTGTATTAATAGACCCCTTATTAATTCATTAAATGGTAATTTATCAGCTTGGTAGTAGTATACGATGTGACCCCCTAATCAATGTTGGGAGGTTGTGGGTAGGATGTTGGTAGGATTTGGGTAGGATGTTGGTATTATATTGGTAGGATGTGGGTAGGATGTGGGTAGGATTTGGGTAGGCTTTGGGTAGGATGTTGGTAGGATGTTGGTAGGATGTTGGTATGGTGTTGGTAAGATGTTGGTAGGATGTTGGTAGGATGTTGGTAGGATGTTGGTAGGATGTTGGTAGGATGTGTTGGTAGGTTGTTGGTAGGATGTTGGAAATGTGTTGGTAGGATGTTGGTAGGATGTGTTGATAGAATATTTGTAGGATGTGTTGGTAGGATGTTGGTAGGATGTTGGTAGAATGTTGGTAGGAAGCTGGGAGAATATAGTAGGTGGTAGTTTGTTACATGTAGTAGATTATCAATAGTATGTCAGTAGGTTATTGGAAGAATGGCAATAGGTTTATGCTATGTTAATGGTAGATTGTCGGTAAAAATAAGTAATGACAGGTTGTTGGTAGGGTATTGGTACAGTAGGTTAAGGGTAGGTCATTAGTGAGTAGACCATACATGTATGTTGCTGGTGTGGTTTAGAAAATTGGAATTTACAAGTTTTTAAATCTTCCAGTAAATCTATAATGAACTGTATTTAGTGTAGACATCATGCTACAGTAGTTAGTAGTCCCAAAGTCTCTTGAAAAGGTGTTCACTAAAATTATAAGGACCACTGTAATTGCATAATACTTACAATTTGATGTGTTTTTAAATCTGTAGATAATTTTGGAGATGATCCAGGCCCTCCTCCAAGAGGTAAAGAAAATAAGATAATAATAAATATATGATAATGATTAATTGATATAACCTTATTATAACAGAGCTGGAAGTTTAATGAGATGTTAAGGTTTGTGAAACGGGCTCGCCTGACTATAAGGGATTAGTTTTTGGAGAGGTTTTGGAGAGGTTTGGGAGATGGTTTTTAATGATTTTTTATTTTACAATGTTCTAGGCAGTACAACTAAAGATTCTTATTTTACATCTTTCAGCTCTTACTCGCGAACAAGTAATGCGAAATCCACATTTGGCATTAAACCATTCAATAAGTGAGCCAAAAGAACCAATGGTTTCTGCAAAAGCAGTAGAACACACAGAAAAACCACCTGAAGCAGTAGAAGAAGGTGATGAATGCATAATCTGCACAGAAAGACCAAAAAATGCCACCATCATACATGGGGATACTGGTCACCTTTGTTGCTGCTGGCAATGCGCACAGGTGGTGAAGATGCGGGGTGATCCATGTCCAATATGTAGAATGCCAATTGACAAAGTTATCAGGCAATATAAAGCATAATAATAATCTCAAGGTCAAAAAAAATCATGGTAGCTTAATCACACTAGTGTCCGAAACGTCAGTATGATTTACCCTTTTATCATTACTATTTTTACAAGGGTAACTTGGGTATAAACAACTTCTTGAACTTTTTTTTATTATTCAAATTGTTAAATTGCTGTAACACGGATTTACTGTGGTCACTCTAATACCATGCAGTGGGTGACCAGTGGCTAACAATAATTAATGCATATAGAGGATTGCAAACCAATTATTCGTGAAAAAACTTTGTAAGAAATTAAGCAAATTTGTACAAATTAGGAAGTTCAGTAGACTAGACCTACAACACTTTGAACTAGCTTGTAAACGTTTGTTAGTTAACTTTTTCACAGATATATGGTATGCAGACTATAAGACATTTTTAACAGTTAAAGCTACACTGTACTACATAAAAACTAGCTGTATCTTACCAAAGGTGATGGTGCTAATTAATCTATTGATATAACAGGGTGCAACATTTATAGATGCCGAGTATAAATTGTAGTTATTTATTATGTCACAACCTATTATATTAGTGTATAATCGAATATTATAAGTACTTTTACATTTATAGACACGAGATAAGTTACATTATGATTCTGGTGTGCCAAAACCCTGTGAAGTCTATTGTCTGACATCTGGATTAAGTTTGCTTGAGGTCTAAAGGCTCAGATCATATGGTTGTAGTAATAATTAAGTTTTTTTCGTCACTTTCAAATATGTAGAAGGATATATAATTTTGTGTTAATCTGAGAAACTAAGAAAATGTGTTAGATTCCAAGTCCATGCATAATTCCACATTACTTTCACCATTTTTTTCTATTAATCATACTTTTTGTCCATTATTTCATAGGTTCTAACTAAATTTCGTAATTTTAATCGTTATTATACAGCTTCTCATTAATCCCATATAAGTAACTGTCCAATTATTTTCTTAATTGGACATGTCTTGTTGATAGGGGATTAATTAGGGAGCTATATAATTAATAGGTAATAGGATTTCATGCTCCCCAATCAAGAAATAATTAGACTCGAAAAATTCCTCTGACTGCCAAATTAGACTAAGCCTACGACCTCATCCAATTTTGTCAGTCCTCGGAATTATCCTCGTCCAATTATTCTTAATTGGACAGCACGGAGTCCTATTACATATACTTATTAATATAAATTACATTATACTAAGCCATATAACTTGATATCAATACCATGAGGTCTTTACTAGGCATTGATCTAAGTCTCCTTAGTTAAAATATGGGATACCAAGTCTTTGTAATTCTAAAATAACTATTAGTTCAATATTCTAACTAAGGTTTGTAATTTTAATCGTTATTAATACAAATTAACACTGTGCTTTATAACTTTATACATATAACTTTAAATGTTCTTTGCGTACATATTTACGGTGTTCAACTTACCTATAGAGAAAAAATATCGCTCTTGAATCCACACGAGTACCCTACATTTCATATTCCGGCTGCGTTACCAGCGTGGTTGGTCCTTGTAGTGTAGTGGTTAACACATCGGACTAGAATACCGAAGACGTGGGTTTGATTCCCGCCAAGGGCATTTGATATTTTCTCTTATTCTCTGTATAACTTTAAATCAGTAACTGAGGTGGTGAGTTTTGATCTGAATCTCTTTGTTAGAGCACAGTCTTTAAGCTGATAAACTCGCTCCAGACCAGGGGTGGATCCAGGGTTTGGACATGAGTAGTTTACTCTGAATTTATACCCAACCCACCATACCCCTATTAGTTATAAACTGCCTAAAAGGATACATCTACCATAGCATGCTGTCTGCAGTCAAGATCCTTGTACAGATTTATCTCAGTTGAAGAATCTAGCACAT